CCCCTTCCTCTCCCTCTCCTCCCCCTCCTCCTCTCTTCCTCCTCTTCTTCCTCCTCCCCCTCATCCTCTTAAGCATCAGCATGATCACCATCCAGTGTTGTGGTTTTCTTTGGAAAAATCCTCCTACTCACAAATCTGAAATTGCAGAAGGGGAATTAAGAGACATCTACTCCCATTGCAAATGCTCTTCACTTTGTAAAGCGATGCAAGGGGCAAGATCCTGATGAGTAAAATTTCCCAGTGCTTACCAATGATGGTTTACAGAAATTATCCCTACACACAAGTTTTTCCATCGAGCGGGCTTACCTGCACATAAAGTCAGCCCTGAAGATAGTCACCCCCAGTAACACCCCCAGGAGACATTTACTCCCCGAGGTCCTGTCTCTCTCTGTGTCTGGGCTCTCTCTCTAGTTTTGGATAGTCTAAGGAACGGGACCTCTTTCCTTGCGTAGTGCTGGCCACACTCAGTGCCGTATGTCTGGCTTTATTCATTATGCCTACTTCAAATGCTGCTCCTCAGCGAGTGAGGGTCTTGACGGCGTGTGCCATTTTCACTGCCTTAGAATTGGTTTTCCTATAAAGCAATCATGGCGTAGGGGAGGGAAAATATTAGTAATACTGTGATTTCAAGGCAGATGCTTATCTTGGGTTTCAGTGTTTCTAAAATCAGGTTGTGCCTGATAAATTTGGCATACATAGATAAATAATAAATATATAAATAAATTACAATTTATTATCCAAATCAGAACACTTTTGAGAGTAAAAGAGGATACCACTAACTGTTACACTGGACCAGCAGGCATGAACCAATGTTGTCATGGGCAAACCAGGACATGATCACTTAACTTATAATTTTATATGTACATTTAATGCAATTTCATTCATTTGACGTTATTTGGTAGGCGCCTGCCATAGGTGACATTGGGCATACAATGTTTAACATTGAGCATGTAATGCTTAAAATTACATGCTTAATATTTGGCATACAATGTTTAAAAAGTAAACACAGCCCCTTCCCTCTTGGAGCTGATGGTATAATGGGACAGACAGCTGATGAAAGGGAACAAAGAATAGATGTATCGTTACAAATTGTAATGAGTGCTGTATTAGTCAATTCCGGCTGCCATAACAAAATACCATAGACTGGATGGCTTAAACAACAGAAGTTTATTTTCTCACAGTTCTGAAGGCTGAAAGTCTGAGATCAGGGAACCAGTGTGGTCAGATTCTGGTGAGAGCTCTCTTCCTGGCTTCCAGACAGCCACCATCCTGCAGTGCCCTACATGGTAGAGAGAGAGCTCTACGGTCCCTTCCTCTTCTTATAAGGACACCAGTTGTGTCTGGTCAGGATTCAGTCCTTGCAACCTTATTTGACCTTCATCACATCCTTAAAGGCTCTATCTCCAATACAGTCACATGGTGGGGGGCTGGTGATAAGGCTTCAACATAAGAATTTTCGGGGTCGGAGGGACACAATGAAAAGCACAGAATATAAGTTCCAAAAAGTCACGGGCTTTGTAGGTTTCGTTCAGTGACAAAATTCCCATCTCATATTACAGCCCCCAGCACAAAGGAAGGAAATACTAAATAAATAATGGTTGAATTGAATTAAAGTGGAGAAGGGACATGATCTGATTTATAATTTTAGAAGATGGATTGGATGGCAACAAGCTTGCAAACAAGCAAAAAAACGTATTAGAAGGCTATTGATAGGCGGAGGGAGGGGACGCGGGCTCATTGCTGTGTGTGCCCTGCAGTCTGTCCCTCACTCGCCACTGACGGCCTGTCTCGTCGCCTGCAAGCCGTGCCGCCGCCCCACAGAAACGTTTCGATTACCTGCAGTCCTTCGCCAGATGAGGCCAGTGTCCAGGGCACTGGCTTCTCATCTCACTCGGGCTTATGCCAAAGATGTAAACTTTGGTGCGGATGCCTGAGCCTTAATGCTTCAAGGTGTAGACCTTTTAGTTGATGCTGTAGCCGTTACTATGGAGCCAAAGGGAAGGACAGTGATTATTGAACAGAGTTGGGGAAGTCCCAGAGTGACAAAAGATGGTGTGACTGTTGCAACGTCCATTGACTTAAAAGATAAATATAAAAATATTGGCGCTAAACTTGTTCAAGATGTTGCCAATAACACAAACGAAGAGGCTGGGGATGGCACCACTACTGCTACTGTACTGGCTCTATCGCCAAGGAAGCCTTCGAGAAGCTTAGCAAAGGTGCTAATCCAGTGGAAATCAGGAGAGGTGTGATGTTAGCTGTTGATGCTATAATTACTGAACTTAAGAAGCAGTCTAAACCTGTGGCAACCCCAGAAGAGATAGCCCAGGTTACTACGATACCTGCAAATGGAGACAACGAAATTGGCAACATCCTTTCTGATGCGATGAAAAAGGTTGGAAGAAAGTGTGTTATCACAGTAAAGGATGGAGAAACACTGAATGACGAAATTAGAAATTATTGAAGGCATGAAGTTTGATAGAGGGTGTATCTCTGCATACTTTATTAATACATCAAAAGGTCAGAACTGTGAATTCCAAGATGCCTATGTTCTGTTGAGTGAAAAGAAAATTTTGGTGTCCAGTCCATTGTTCCTGCTCTTGAAATTGCCAACGCTCACCATAAGCCCTGGGTCATAATTGCTGGAGATGTGGATGGAGAAGCTCCGAGTACACTTGTTTCGAATAGGCTGAAAGTTGATCTTCGGGTTGTAGCAGTCAAAGCTCCAGGTTTTGGTGACAACAGAAAGAACCAGCTTAAAGACATGGCTATTGCTACTGGTGGTACAGCATTTGGAGAAGAAGGGCTAACTCTAAATCTTGAAGATGATGCCATGCTCTTGAAAGGAAAAGGTGACGAGGCTCAAATTGAAAAGCGTATTCAAGAAATCATCGAGCGGTTAGATATTACAGCTAGTGAATATGAAAAGGAAAAACTGAATGAACGTCTGGCAAAACTCTCAGATGGTGTTGCTGTGCTAAAGGTTGGTGGGACAAGTGACGTTGAAGTGAATGGAAAGAAAGACAGAGTTACAGATGCCCTTAATGCTACGTGAGCTGCTGTTGAAGAAGGCATTGTTTTGGGAAGGGGCTGTGCCCTGCTTCAGTGCCTTCCAGCCTTGGATTCAAAACTCCAGCTAATTAAGATCAAAACATTAGTATAGAAATTATTTTTAAAAACACTCAAAATTCCTGCAATGACCATTGCTAAGAATGCAGGTGTTGAAGTTGAGAAAATTTTGCAGAGTTCTTCAGAAGTTGGTTATGACGCTATGCTTGGAGATTTTGTGAATATGGTGGAAAAAGGAATCACCGATCCAACTAAGGTTGTAAGAAGTGCATTACTGGATGCTGCTGGAGTGGCCTCTCTGTTAACTATGGTAGAAGTCGTAGTCACAGAAATTCCTAAAGAAGAGAAAAGAAGAGAAGGATCCTGGAATGGGCGGAATGGGGGGGATGGGAGGTGGGATGGGAGGCGGCATGTCCTAATTCCTAGAATAGTGCTTTACCATCATTAATGAGATGTGAAAGGAAGCTCAAGGCAGCGTTCCTCACCAATAACTTTAAGAGAGGTCAGTTGAAGGAGATGACTGAAGAAAAGGCTGGCTGATGTTTAAGAAAATCACTATAACCATCAGTTACTGGTTTCAGTTGACAACATAGAATGGTTTACTGCTGTCATTGTCCATACCTACAGGTAATTTATTTTGTATTTTTGAATAAGGACATTTGTACATTCCTGGTTTAAAAAAAAATGAAGGCTATTGATAGAGTTGTCCACACAAAAATAATTGGAGCAGAATGTTGTCTGTGCATATTGAAGATGTGATTAAATTTAAGCTATATTTAGGAGGTAGAACTGACTGCATTTGCTGATGCATTACTGGCTGTGAAGGGGGAGGATGAGGACGTAATTACAGATGAGTTACATAATTATTTATGTAGGTTTCAGGCGTGGGCTATTAGACGGATGAGGGGAAGATGAAGGGACATCTGGGGAGGCAGGGAAGGAAATCATGAACTTGGTTTTGGACAAGGTAAGCTTGCGTGCCTGAGAGGCACACACGTGGAGGTGACATGTAGGCAGGTGGATATATAAATCTCAAGCTCAGCAGAATGTGGTGTTTCCTCCTGCCCTGAAAAGTTCTTATTACTGCGGTGGTGAATCTTATCATCAGTGGAATCTTAAACTGGTAATAGTTATACCTCACACTTAGTGGGCTCTGAACTTGGGCTAGGTGTTGAAATTCTCTCATTTGATCCTCACATCTACTTTTGCAATGTGTCATTTTTGTGACACGTTGCACAGACAAGAAAACTCAATATTAGAAAGTGAAATGAAATGTCTGAAGTCACCAATCTAGCAAATGGGAAATGTAGGATTTGACAGCAAGACTGTTTAACCCCTGTTCTCT